TGCTGTTTTTATGAGCTATTTTTGTTTTTATCAATACTTCACCTCCTGTTGATGAATCTTCACCAAATCTGGCATGCGGAGATATGGGCAAATTTACAGTTTCACATTTTCTATCTTGCAAATTTTATGGGCATTTTTTAGAATTATATATAAGGGAAGCAACTTTTCTTGTCCTATGATAACCTTTCATTAATCATGAATTTACATAACTTTTCTCCAGAGGACGGGTATTCCAGCTGTTAGAGCAATAAAAGATTATCCTAACAATGATTATGAGACAAATAGTCCATGGATATCACCAAAATATCTAATGTTATAATTTTCCTATATTGAAAATATTTCCGATAGGTAATTCCCTCCACTCACAAGATTAACTATTTCTGTTCAGTGCTACCCTCTATATGCAAACTTTTTTAAACGCATCCCACAAGCCTTCTGACTCCCCCTATTGGAATCTAGTGATTCCAACATGTCTCTCATGGAAATCATTATGTGTCACTTCTCCATCAATGGAGTGCGATGTAGTCACGTGATGCATGACTACCTCTATACTCTTCTACCAAACTATCACTTTGAGTTTAGCAGAAGGTGAAAGCATCAGTTTTCAGTGGGGAGGAAGGGTGGGAAGTGCGAGTTAGGGAATTAGATATCGGAAATACATTTTCATATAGGAAAATTATAACTTCCGATCAGGTAATTGCCTCCACTCACAAAATTAGCTAGAATTCCACATTGAATAGGAAGAGGAACTGGTGCAAGGGAAGGACAGAAGCATCCGAAGGAAACCCCCGGAAATGAGAGAGTCAGACCAAAAGATCTAATGAGGGGAACTGCACCACTTCTGAACCATGTATACTCTTTGCCCATACATGAAATACATATGAGATATGGGTGGAACGATAGAGGAGCACATCTGAGTGCGAGAGAACTCTAGCTGGATAGTGTGCCAAACTGTATGATATTGAAGTCAATCCCGCCATATAAAAGCAGTCAGAGAATGAATGTGCCCCCAGATGTAGAGTGGCTAGAGAGCGACAGACCGTACTGGTATGTCAACTATGTCCAAAACCCTCACCGCTGGGAACTGACATCCACACAGAGGGTAGGATGAAGATCATACTTTCTTCAACTCAAGTTCAAGAGATCAGAGGGAATTGATAACCATTCTGATACTTAAACAAGGCATAGGTATCAAAAGGATGTCTAAATAAACCGATTTATTCAATCAAGACTTTTTCAGGGATGGGCAGCTATCCCCTTCTGCTTTACCCATGCAGTCAATGGGTGGTACAGTCTAAAATGGGCAAATTTATGAAGCAAAAACATCATGAGGTTATTCACCTTCAAGCAATCTTGAGGAACACCCCATTTCACCAGTAAGCGTTGAGATGCCATAGAAGAGAGAGCAATTCAACATGGTTGTACAGTGCAGATTTCAATTAAAGGATAACTGGTCAGGCACCGCTTGCCACAAAGCGAGATCCAAATAGTGAAAAATGAAGCAAGGGCCCCTGAAAGGAAACAAATAATGAATACAAAATTACCCGGTTAGAGTCGCACTGAAGTATCAAAAACAGTAACAGGAGGGAGATGAAAACCTGATGAGGAAGAAACCACAATATGGTGTAGATAAGGGGAGACGTATGAAGTAGATGTAGTCCTCATACCCGAATGTAGGAGTTCCTCCAATGGCCGACGAACACGAGATGCCAGGGAAAAGGTAAGGATGTCAAATTTGATGAGAAGACCTGTAACAAAGTCTGGGAAGAAGATGATAAAGGGTAGTGAGCCAATGGGATCAAAAGCCGAACACAATTGGTGAGGATGGAAGGAGAAAGATCTTGACTCAAGGAAAACTGCCCAGGAATAAAGAGGTAGGAGCAGGCACCATGGAGAGAAACCATATGGGCAACAGAACAATGAAGAGCACAGACCATACATAGGAGTCGATCCAGATTGGGAAGAAGATAGAGATGTGAAGTGAAAGGAAGGCAATTAAGCAAAAGGAGGAGTTACCTCCTCTAGCCGCCAATATCTTGGGTAGGAAGGAAAGATCCATATAAAGGAGAAGAGAGGGAGTGGGAAAAAATGTACAAGAAAGTGAGGGAATAAAAGATCACACTAATATCCCAGGTCGGAATGGTAGGCAGTCAGGGAGGACGACTAATCCGGAAGGAATCTATGAACATAGTAAGGATAGGTGAAGTAAAAACTCCACAGTATTGGGAAAAACAATGAAGGTATGGGACAAGGCTGCCCGATAACCCAAGATCGAGATGACCGAAGAACCAGGGGAGAAACTCTGCCACCTATGCCACAGGGGTTTGATCTGCGGTAAATCCCTGACCCGCAGATTAACTCCAAAACACTTTCCATTTATGCCAATAAATGCCCATTGAAGAAGAGTGAATGGAACAAGCTAAAAGAAAGCTACCTGCAGATATAAATCTGATCTCCTCACCAAGGACTGAATAAGAGCCAAGCGTGAAGATGAACGATGTGAATGTCTGGATGGAGTACCAGCAAAAAGTGGATGAAGAAGAGCAGGAGACAAAGGAAGAAACAGTGGAAGTAAAAGTTGGAGCAGGAGAAGTTGTGGAAACCATGGTTGAGCTAGCCAGGAGCAATAAGAAGGACCAACAAAGAATGGTATGGATGAGGGAAATCACCCATGGAAGTAAGAAGATGGGGATGAATATACAGAAACCTGTGGGATCAATCCTGGCTGAAGGCATCAACAGCCCGAGCTAAAGCAGGAGGTACCGGATACCAAATATAGAGGTAATGAGCGGTTAGGAGATGTAGTAAAAGGATCTATGTGGGGAGAATCCCATGGAAGACAAAGCCACCAGAAAACAAGAGAAACAAAAGACCACTCCGATGGATAAAATGTGTCTGGATGACAAAAACAAACTGCAATCTGAGCAATAGCACCCAGAACATGACATGCAAGGATATGAATATTGTGATTGGGGGCCCAAATGAGCAGAACTAATACGTGAAAAGAGAGGAAGTGTGAACAGGTGACACCAACAGGAGCATTGCGTCGAAAAAAGGGACAAAAGAAGAAAAGGAACAGACCATAAAATCCTATTAATAATGGAAAGGAAAACAAACAGCAATGTCACACCCAATACTAACTCAAAAGCAAAGAAGCAATGTGAGGAGGGAATGAACTGGAGATGGCAAAAACCCCAACATGAAGGGAAGAAAGAGGAGGTATCCCTCAACAAACCCAAAATGTAAACAGAACACTGAATAAAGGTAAAGATGAAACATTAAAGGTATGAGCGATGATAGGGGAAAAAAGAATGACAAATGCCAGAAGAAATCTGCCTGAAATTCAACTAAGGTAAAAATTGAAAGCCTGTAGAAGGTAAGGTGGAGAAGTGACACATGATGATTCCCAAGGAAGACATGTTGGAATCACTAAATTCCAATAAAGAAGGGGGGGGGGGGCAGCAGAAGGCTTGTGGCATGTGTTTAAAAAAAATAGCATATAGAGGGCAGCAGTGAACAGGAATAGTTAATCTTATGAGTGAAGGGAATTACCTGTTGGAACTTTAACTTTCAAAGGTCCAAGTTTTCGTTTCTCAATCCTTTACCTACTTACCACAGTGGTCGACAAAGTATAGGGCCCAAGGTTCCGAGGAAATCCTGAAGCAAACAAAGCTATTAAATAATAAGCCTACCTGGCCTTTGACTTCCTGCCATTAATGTGGCAGTATTAGTGCACAAAAATAAGATATAATAGCAAAAATTGCCAATAATGTATAAGAAAGTCCAGGCTTAGAAAGTATTTTGTATCTGCTTGTCCTGTGGGACAAGAGAAATTTAAAAAGTACATGTCCACTTCAAAATTTTGCTTGTTCCCCTGAAGTTAAAATAACAAAGCTATTTTAGTACACAATTTTTGTCAACTGAAAAATCTGTATCTTGATTTTATTGTTACCTGTAAATGAAAAAAAAAAAGAGAGCAAAAACCTAACTTTTTAATATCTATTTTAGATATCCCACCAGTTTTATATTCATTAACATATTTACCATTCATTGAAACAATTACATAACCATTTCACTTAAAGTATTATACAATCCAATCAAAAACCAATGCAGAACCAATAACGACTGTTCTCAAATGTACAAGTATTGTTACTTAATTTATTAGAGTAGAGGAATATTTCTGTAGCCTTCCTGTGAGATAGCAAGTTCTGTATTTTTATGATTATGGTTGTGTTTATCATTCATTTATTATTTCCTTCTATCGTTTAGTATATCTATGAATTTTTAGTTGCATTAAAATGCTAACTCACCTTCTAGATAATCATTTGTATTTTGAGTAAATATATGTGTATATGATGAAATTGACACCCGCTTCCCTAGTGGTGACGTACAGATACTATTAATGTAACAGAAGAGTATGTAAGTTTATGATCATATGAAGTTGTACTCTTGTGGCTTACTCTGTGAATAAATACCCTGCCAGAAGCTTCACGAAGAGAGAGGGAGAATTATTGAAAGATATAGTTACCGCTGTTTGTCACTCGATATTGTTTTTGATGTTGAAAGGTATTGTTGGAATATTGTACTTGCTGTATTTTTTCTTTCTGGTTCTTTTTCTTGATTCCATTATTGTTGATTTATTATATATTTATGATAAATTCTTTATTAATATTGGTGTGAATCCTGACCAGGCACTTGTTTATTAACTGTTGAATTTATTTCTAAGTGTTCTTATTGTGAATAAATTGTTTTTTTGTTGATGAACCCTGATTGTAGCAGCGTGTTCATTTTAGACCATTACATTCAAAAGAAAGTAATATAACAAAAATCAACTACCAGCAATAAGTAAAATTTCACAAGAAACAAAATATTCCCGTTTCTAATTTTCTGGGAAGTATTTTTAAAATTACCATATTCAACCATCAGCACGTGGCTTTACTAAACCACCTCTTGAAAATTTGTGAATGAATGATTGTGAAGTCATTTATAGTGTGATTTGCTCCTCCTCCTCACAACTAACTTCTCAAGTCCACTTGTCCCCAGCCAATTTTTACTCATCTAATACGAATTACTGGGTAATTTTTTCTCTCTAAAGTTCAAAGACAATTTCAACCAACCAAAAACTAAAGCTTTCATATGTATTCATTTCATTTTTGTTTTCTATAGAAAAACTTTCAAGTTTGAGAAATATATACCTATTTATAGAATTATACTGGTTAGAAATTTCAACATCCTGGCACATCAGATTTTAACTGGACCCTTAAATTATTCTGGAAACCCCTTAATTCCAGAAGCTTGAGGTCCTCTGGACCCCAGAGATCAGATTTTTATTTGTATCTCTGCTAACTTCCTCTAGCATTCTATAGTTTCAAGGTTTGACTTTAGTCGTGTGTCTTTTATCAAATTTCTGTGTTTTTCTGCCAACAGTTATGGTTCATTTACTTTCAACTAAATTAATACATTATTTCAAAGTAAATAAAAATAACATTGTATTTCATTTGTATAACCGCTTGTGATAGTTTCAAAGCCTTTTGCTGTTTATAACCAAAACATAACAAAAGAACTGTAGAGATCTATCAGCAGACAACACATCAACAACTTCAGTGTTCTTCCTATGGTTCTGATCCAAAGATCATTAGTAATAATTATTCTACGAAAACGAGATCTGATAAAAATTTATGAAAGCCACTAGACTGAGCCCTATCCAGACTAGCTCTATTTCAACAATTGTTTATTCAAAAATACTTTAGAATTGTTATTTTTCATTGTGTAATTTCCAAAGAAAACTGAAAAATATGTTCAAAATTACATTTCTACATAGCTTTGAGGAGTCATTCACATGTATAAACAATGCATTTAGCAATTTTTTTATAATTTTTCTGACCATCCCAAAGCATAAATTTATATCTGATAAGAAATTATCATCCCTTTAAAAATATAATTCTTAAGGCTTAGTTTTTTATGTGATTTTCTTTTGGTTTACCTGGTTTTATTAGCACAGTCTCTCATTCACCCTCTTTTATAGCATCACTGCATGGCATGTGAACTCCTCCTTATGAACCTCAGCCATGAAAACAGTTACAGGCAAAGTTTAAATACCATTGGATAGAGTAGATTATAAACTATTTACATCAATATAGAGTAAACAAAGTGGGGTGAGAAATAATTTATAGTTTTGTGGAAAAGTAACAAGACCTAGCTTGTGTAGAGAACAACAGAATACTACAGACATTTGGAAGACTTAGGAATGCCACACATCTGAGACTTTTTTAGCTTCCTTCCATGTTCTTTTCATTTTTGAAAATCCTTTTGTTTTAAATTATACATGTTTAAAAGCTACAGAATGTTTCTCTTATGACAAGATATCAAGTAAGCCTAGTTAAGTTTAGCGAGTATGGCAGGCAACAGCAAAATATTTAGATGACTCAAATCCTTATTTATTGAATACTATTGTTAAGTTTATCTTATTCAAACAATGAAGGTAAGTAAACAAACTACTTACTTATTGAAAATAAACTAAATTTATTAAAAATACATTTTCCCAATAAAGAATATTGTTAGAAAAATCATTTTTATCTAACCTGCCCTGATACCACTGTGACAGTTCAGGCTGTAAGTTACTGATAAATCTTTATCAGTTTTTTCCATGTACTCTTTAGCTGGAAGTGGTGACTACTTTGATTGGCAAAATAAAGTATAAAAACAAAATGTTATTGAACACCAATCAAGAAAAAAAACTTCACAATTTCACAACTTAAAAGTGATGGAAAAATTAAATCAAATTGTACCATTGTTGAGCTAAAACTAGATACTACTTAGCAACTTGGTTAAGTATTGCACCATGAGAAGGGAAAGGTCAAGGGATGTAAATAACACTCCATCCCATCCAGAAGGAATTAAGTTTTCTTTAAACAGTATATAGTTATTTTTAAAATTTTTACAAAAAATATAGATGTGACACAAAGAAAACACTGTATGTCATCAAAGAAAATGTATTTGTGTTAGAGTTAATGTAGTTATTTTTATAAATAATAATAAAACAGTAAAGTTTTTAATAGATTAATACCTCATTCTCTCCCAACACTTGATCAGGATTATTCTCTTGCTCTTTCCCAACAATGAAATGTGAAGATCCTTCTTCTAAAGAAACAGCTTCTCCAGCTGCTATTAAATATTAAAATTTTTTAAAAAAAAGAACATACTTGAATATGATTTATAGAGTGCATAATAGAAGTCCAAATCATTTCAGTATTACCAGGTTAATCAGCTAATACACATTTTAGAAACTAACAAAATTCAGAAGGTTACCTGTACTACTTACACTTACAGTAAAGTGTGTATTGTTTCACAATCTCTGTTGTAATATTAGTAGTTCCACCATATGGTAGTAACTTCTACCTGCATCTAGCATATTCTGCTCTTTTCATTATAATATTTTTCCCTCATGAATACCCAATCAGGCAAAAGTACAGGATAGTAATACCAAAGGAAGAATCTTTTCATATTCAATTTTACATAGAAAACAACAGTACAGGATGAAGCTTGATATATCTTTTTATTTTAGGGAAGGCATTGAATCAGTGACTTTCCCAAAAACAGATCTCATCACAGTAACTTAATTCACACTTAACCTAAGAAATTAATTAATATATATCATAAGGATCACAATATATTATATGTAACAAAACATAAAAGTATGTATGTTTGAAATCTTTCCATTTAGCGTGATGTCAGTCAAATTATCATGAATGTAAAGATCTCACATCAGCTTGATTTCTTATTAATTTTTTCTTTTCAAATGGTTTAATTTCATTTTATTGGAGGAACTGAAAATCTTTCAAACGGTTGTGATTTATTTTCCTCTGTTTTATGGACTGAAGAAAAGAACAATTACAGATTGCAACGACAAAGTTAGCACTGAACCAAGGAAAAACAAAACTATTTCTTCAGTGTCTCTAACTAGCAAACACATTTATGCAAGGGCTATGTGTATACATCTACATAAATACCTTGAGCCAGGTGATGCAATATTAGCACAATGTGGCAGCAAATGTTAATTCTTAATGATATACATATGTGAAGTATTTTTATTTTGGGGATGTAATTCTACAAATCAAGGCACTATTTATTCTTTGACTTATTTTAACATTAAGTTCAGTAAACTCCATTCAAAACTATACAGTGCATATGGTCAGTTTTTGTGTTAAGTTTGTTCAGAGGTTTGTCAATGGAGAAAACATACTAGAAACCACAAGAAACTTTTCTTCAACTACAGCTGGTCAACTAAAAATATTTTCTTTAATTACCAGGTCTATCTATTCAAGAAAGGTTCAAAAGATTGGCTGCCAATAAAGTTGAAAACTAATAGAGCCAATAATCATAAAGTCCTATACAGCAGTGCTCTTAGTAAAAGACTTAAGTTATGGATCTCCAAAAATATTCTCTACATGCCAAAACTAAGAAATTTCAGGAAATAAATTCATACAAATTTAAAGTTAAAATACCATAACACTGTTCTCATTAAACCTCACATACTTTTGGAAATAAGTTCATTTTGTTTTTCATGTTTAAAACTTGCAGCTTCATGTTTTTGAAAAAAGAAAAAGTCAAAAATTAATCTGCTCTTCCAGACATTACTCAAAATCAAGATAGGGTATTAGGCACTTATTAACATGTAGAACTGACATATTACAGGCTGAACAAAATTTGATTAACAAACAGGAAATAGTAAAATTTACATGGAAAAGTAATGTCCTGGTCCTCTTCAACACTGTTTTTATAATAATTAATTTTTAAGTTTATTTGATTAAGAAGAATATTATTTTATTTATGTTGTCCCCAGAAATTCTATATAAACAAATCTCAAAACTAGTCTAATACCATCTTAGCTGTTTTATATTTTTAATTGAATAATTTTGAAGCAGTCTTTGGTTAAATAATTTAATTAAATGACTTTTGTACCATGTTTGAATACTGCATGTCTTTTATTTTAATTCACTTTATTAGCTTATATCATTCCCATCTGGTGGGTGATGGCTAAGTTTATTTTTTTTACATTGTTGATTGATTTTAACATTTTTTTTTTCAATTTATACGTAAAAAAAGTAAAGATGGTAGATAATCATATTTCTTTTAATGTATTATGACTATTTTATATTATAATAAATCTCATAATAGAGAATTATGATGAGCTTTGGCAGTGTTCTGTGAGTTTATTACTGTAAATTGAATAAGAATAGATATATTGTGTCTTGAAAATAGGAAATGAACTGCCTTTTTTTTTTAAATAACTTTTCACTGCAATTTATTCAATAATGATTTGTCAATGAAAAATGGGAAATTTTCTCAATGTAAAAGTAAATATTTTCTGACATTTTAGTTGGTGAATAGGAACAATATTTGCCCTCTATTCATTTACTAGATTAACTTTAGTAGGATTATTATATATTTTTTACAAGATTATGTAAAATATTAGGTCATCAAGAAATTAATGTCGCATTTTGGAACACTTTCATTAACCACCCCCCAAAAAACATAATTCACGTATAATAGTTAAATGAACCATCTAAGCGTCACATTAGTGCAGCCTATATAATTTGTAAAGTTTAGTATACTCTAATCCCTTATAGTGATGGCACACGAGACACACATTTGGCATGTAATGCTGTTTGAATACAAGAAGGGAAACAACATCTCTGTAGCCACAAAGAATATCAAAGAAGTTTATGGAAATATTTTCAAATTTTGTAAGTGTCAACAATGGTTCAGCAAATTTTGTTCAGGTGACTTTAACCTTAAAAACTGTGATAGTAGGGGCCAACGTGTTGGAATTAATATTGAAATGGCCCTGAAATTGTATGTCTCTCATGAAACAATATTTAGATATCTAAGGAATATGTGAAAACTCCTTATAGAAGGTGTTTAGGTGCCTCACAAACTTTTCGATGATCATCGTTTCCAACATGTGAACGTTGCTTCATCTCTTCTGGTGCACAATCCATTTTTGGACAGAATTGTCACCGGTGATGAAAAATGGATTCTCTATGTGAATATTAAATGCCAAAAACAATGGCTCAGTCCTAGACAAAAACCACTTCCGACCCCAAAACCTGGACTACATCTGTAGAAAGTGATGTTTTGCATTTGGTGGGACATCAAAGAAGTAATTCATTTTGAACTCCTCAATCTACAGCGAACTGTTAATGCAGAGATCTATAGTCAGCAACTAGAACATTTAAATCAAGCCTTTCATCAGAAATACCCTTCACTCGTCAATTGGAAAGGTGTTTTTCTTCTCAACAACAATGCACGTCCACATGTGGCACGTTTGACGCAACACAAAATTATGGAGTTGGGTTGGAAAATTCTCACCCACCAACCATATTCTCCAGATATAGCACATTAGATTACCATCTTTTTCATTTGCTGCAACACCATTTTAATGGGAAAATGTGTGCAAATGTGGAAGGTGTTAAAGAGGATATCGAAATGTTTTTGCTTCAAAACAAGGTGATTTCTTTAATCAGGGCATTAACAACCTGACTGTAAGATGAAAAAGCATCATCGATAAGAATGGAGACTATTTCATTTAATAATGTTTTGTTTTGATATATAAGTTGTTCGGGTTTTTTTCATCTAAAAAAAGCGACATTAATTTCTTGACGACCTAATATAAGCTGCATTCTTTCACATACAGGAATACTTATGTAATAATTCAATACATAGTATGCCTTACACTATATATATATAGAGAGAGAGACACACACACAGAGAATTATGGTTAGATGTGGGCAATAATCTTTCAATATGACAGAGTATTGTCATGCACAATGTTTCCCCTTTTTTCTTGTTAAAGTCTTTCACAATAGCTAATGCAGACTTCAACCACCTATGCACCGAGGGGTAATTAATTTTGAAAATGAAAACAATATACTTCACTTGAAATGTGCACTTCTCACAAAGAAATACTTACTCATGATCAACATTATTACACTGTTTGTCAAGAAATCAAAATTAAAGTATTATTAATGTAAGAATTACAAATATACACAATTTTCTGTGTTTTCACATGAAGTTATGACTGCTATAAACAAACTAAAATGATGCTTAGTGTACTGAGATGTATCAGTGAATTTTGGTTTTCTACAATTCTAGATTAAACATCTAGACATTGCCTCCTGGTATTACTGTTTGCATCTATGGGTCAGAAAGTAAATGGTTTTATTCCACATGAAATAAGGAATATTCAAATAATAGCCAAAAATTTCATTTTGTGGCTAGTGTAAAAAAGCAAAACAAAATTTACTACAACAGAGAGGGAGATAGCAATATAAATATTAGAAAGGACCCACATTTAAATTCTAAAGAGTTACACTTACTAGTGGTTGATGTAAAAGTTTCTTCTTCATTTTTCAGCTGCTTGATATTCACCAAAGCACTCTGTTCCTCATCAAACAATGGTTCAACTTTTATCTCTAGTACTTCCATAGTTACATCAATGTCAACCTCTTCATGTTTATCTGAACCCTGCAGTTAGCCTATCAAGAAAGAAATCACAATTTATAATTTACATCCTTCTAAAATGTTATTACCATCAAGCCTTTAATACTTTAATAAGCCTGAGTTCCTAAAACTAAAACAGATAATTAGGGTTTTCATTATCTTGAGCAGGTAAGTGTTACTACCAAAATAAGTGAGTAATCCTGTTGGTGTGAGGCAGAGCTCAGACCAAAGGCCCAACATCATGCCTTTAGGAACAATCCCTTAAGGGGATCCAGGGTCATGCTACTTTCTGATAAAGTAGTCACACTATGGAATATCTTGCCTTCAGGTGTCATAGGAGCAGGATCACTGAGGAAGGATAGATGAATATTTTACAAATCAGGGTTGGAATAGAGTAGTAATAGAAAATGAGACAGCAAGATGGATCAAATGGCCACCTTGGAAATCAGATTTCTAGCTCTTTGACACTCCAGAAACATGACCAGGTTATTTATTCTACTTATTACAGAATTTCTACACCAGATATTATTCTAGTACCAATATCTGTACTTACACTAACATTTAAATATGTTTTCTGTATTAGGGATTCCCAGAAAAAAAAAAGCCTGAAGCCTCACCAGTCTTATATAAGGTAATAAAAACTTTTTGCCCTTTAATTAAAAAGAAAAAATCTAAAACAAATTGGTTGAGTACCCTTGCCGTTAGAAATATTTTCAGACAATTACCAAATAATATCTCATGAGGTTTGGCCAACTTAATCCATATACTAAGCTTACAATGAAAAATATTTTAAATAAAATTTGTAATAATGATAAAATTAAATATAACAAAAATAGATACATTAAACATTCTAACCAATACTGTTATTGAAAGAATATACAGAAAGTGTTTACAGAAAGAATAAAGTGTACATTACTTATGGTACATATAATCACTAGTGGTTTACTTCATGCATTATCAACAATTTCATTTTCCTTAAAAAATTTGAAATCGAAGTATGCAAAACTTCTCCCCTAACAAAGTCTTGTGATCAACAAAAGCCTATTAAATGGCTCTAGCAGGGTAACTTTAGAGTATTCTGACATCTGAGATAAGTTATTACGACACATTACTGTTTAGCTATAAGCAGGTCACAGAACAATACAGCAAAAACTAATGTTTATGAAAATAATAAATAATAACAAATTAAATGAATAAAACAGTCATACAATAAATGGCATGAATATTGATACTTTAATTAAATATTTCCATGCTAAGTGTAATAATAATAAAAAAACACATACAACAATGTGTGTATAACACAATTACTCCAACTTTAACTAACTCGCATCGTTTCTAACACACATGGAGTATGCAGCAGAAGTAATCAAGTTACATCCTGATGGTGGTCACCATAATACTGTGATTCATTATTACCATAAACAGTTTCTAAAAAATTAAAATTAAACGTGGAAGTTCAATGAGATTATGATATTCTGTAAAACTTTTAAACGTGTAACAGGTACATTGTTGAATTTCGCAGAAAATTAAATTAATTTGTGTGTTCAAAGTATGGAAGATGAAATTTTGTTTATGAAAAATTAGAATGATTCTGTTCACAAATTCTATTATTTCTAATAAGCTGTGAGTAGTAAACATTGTGACAACTTGTTTGGAATATCTGTATTTGGCAATTGAAAATTTGTTAATTCAAAATTAAAAGTTTTAGTTTCATTTAAATTTTTAACTTGAAAGTGTGATTAGCAATGCTTATGCTCTTTGTTTTAGTGGAAGAGCTTTATTTCTAGTAAGTTCTGGTGATTAAATTTGTTTTGCAGTATCACCAAAACCATGATAATTTGGTAAAAGAATTTCTGTTTCACAAGAGTGGCCATATATTTGTCTCCTTGTTACATGCTGCATTCCTATACTTAAACTTCTTACAAACAATAACTGAAAAAAAAAAAACAATTGTGAAAAGACCTTGTTTATTGTTTAACGACCAACATCCACTTTTCAAACACAAACTTTTGCAATGACTTCTTCCACTACATTAAAACTAAATATGTGATACATTCACTGGAAAGAAAACTATATACACTGTTCTTTTTATTTTTTATTAACACTTTTTATTATTGGCACATGTACAGCTATTAACAAGAAATATTTTCATTTTGTAAGTGTAGTATGTATGTGTTACATTGTTATTCCAGATATTTTGAAAATAATATGATTTAGTTCAGAATGTATAAAAAATGTGAAATCTCTAGGAATGTTATCCACTATATACATTAGAAAAAATCAAAACAACAATATAACAGTCCATCATCCAGAACATCTTGCTCTTTCCATCATATCTCAAAAATGCCACAGAGTTCTGAGTGAGTGTTCTGAATCATTTTATTCCAATATGACTGTTTCATCTTTTATCAATAAAACTTTACATTAAAAAATAACTATTCTAATCCCCCAAAAAATAATCACATAAATTTGAAAATATAAATGAAAAATGAAATTGGACATTTTAACATAAAGTCAGTAAGTGGGTTAAACATATTGTACATCACACCTAACCCTTTGACTGCAACTGCTTTAAACGTGTGCAGAATTTTTGTGAGTCATACACTCTATATAGCACACTTCATTCAACTGCTGGAGGTGGACCTTACCCTATATGCTAAATTAGCAGTCAGTAGGTTAAGATGGACTAGTCTGTTGTCAATTTCAGTGATAGCAGATATTTGAACAAACATAAAAGTTTACATTTTTGGAAATTTTAGTTAAATATAAAGTTACATTTTACATATTTGCACAAATTTCATGCAAACAGAATCACATTAGCCCCAGGCTAGCATTCTTGCATAAACTTCATGGGAATCCACTTAGTGGACTTTCACACCTCTACTTAAAGCAACACAAAATAAACCATGCTCTACAACTCTTATGTTACAATAAACTGATGCAACTGACTCTGACTTCACTCTAATATTTGAAACTATTCTTCATTACTTACACTCTTAATTTCTTAAGAATTATGCACATACACGTAATTCAAGGACAATAACAGACCTTTTGGTCCATCCAGGCTATCTCATTCACTAACTCAACTTTAAAATAAAAACATTAAAAGCCAGCTTTTATCATTCATATATTAATCAAGCCTTCCCTTAAACTACTTCAAATTAACTGCATCCACCACATATGAAGACAACTTATTCCAGAGGCCAACCATCTTGTTAGAAAAACAAAGCTAATTTAGCTGAAGATGACTCCTACCCTGCCAAAATTTATAACTCCTAGTCCTACCATTCAATATGAAAAAAAGATGATGCATCAATATTATCAATTACCTCAATCAGTTCCTCTTTCTTCTTTTTTCAAGAGAAAATTTCAGAGATCTTAACTTGTCCTCATATGACAACCTTTTTATGTCAGGTATTATCCTAGTAGTCCTCCTCTTAACCATTTCCAACAAGTCAATGTCCTTCCTAGAATAAGAAGCCCATGACTGAACACAGTACTACAAATGTGGCCTAACCAGTGATATATGCCATGAAATTATAACCTCTTTAAACTTGTATTCAGTATTTCTATAGATACAACCTAAAACCCTATTAATCCCACCAATAGCAACAGCACATTGCAGGGGTGGCTTAAAAGACTGATCAACCAGAAGATCAAGGTTATTTTCTTCTATAACACTAACATTGACTTTGTGGTTGCTTGACATACTCCAGGAATAATAAAACTAGCTTACTGGTTTACCAATTCTTCTGAATGATGAGTAAAGTTAATTGAAATACAAATAAATAATAATAACTGTTGTTAAAATAAATGAATTATATTGTTATTAATACTTCTCTTATTCTGGTTTGTAAATGACTCATATCAAATTGATAAATATTACACTCCACCAGCTTAATCTACTTTGCACCACAATAACTGTTGTTCAAGCTATTTCATAATATAAATATTAATCTACCTTATTCAAGTGTCTGTTGTATCCAAGACAGCCTGATGACCCAAGGTATTAGACAAAAAGTTGTTGGCATTATAGAGTGGTTACCATATTATTATAAACTTGTACATTCTTCTTTACTTTCACTTTCATTAATAATACATGAACAACAAAGGACCATTTGGTCCTTCAAGTCTATCCTTCCACCCTCATCCTAGAGAAAATAGAAAAATTCAAACCCACCCTATATTTTTCATGAACTCATCAATTCCCCTCTTAAACTCTTGTGCCATCCTACATTAAGTAACTGCAGACAGCAACAATCAATTAAAACCATCTTAACTGGATTATTTCCTGTTTTTCTAAATCTTAAACTTATGTCCTCTCATTCTGTTGTCCTTAAAATATACCACAAAGAAATCAGATGTCTTTATCCTACTGATTCCCCCCCAAATAATACAGTGAACTTCAATAAGCACCCTAGTACCCCTTCTCTGAACACTTGCCACTAAATAATTATCCTTGCTTAGCTAAAGAGACCAGAATAATAAACAGCATTCCAAGTAAGGAATAACTAGTGATGCCCATACAGGTAATTATCCCTTTTGACTAATAATCAGTATGTCTATATATATATAACCTTATTAATACCATTAGCTTTATGACTAGCAACAAAGCTCTATCTTGAGGTCTTGACTGATTTATCCACAACAACATCACTCATTTTCATATGTCATGGTATTAAGTGGGTTCTCATCTATTTTAAAACTGAGCTCAAAATTAGGATTATCCAAATACATTACAATTGCTGTAATATAAGGTTGTTTCTAACTTGCTAATTTATCCAAGTCATTCTGTAGTATCTCATCATACTTAACTAGAAATACTCAATAGTTTAATGTCATCAGCAAACTTTACTAATTATGCCTTTATAAATATCATTAAAGAGAATAATAAAAAATCAAAGGTCCAAGCTCTGACCTTTAAGGTACTCCACTAATTACAAGAGTCCAGGTTGAATGGACTCCATTAATAACAATCTTTTGCATCCTCTTACTCAACTACGTTAAAACCTAATTATCTTTATCCAAACTACTGCTGTAATTTTCTTGGCTGATCCAAAAATGTGTTATCTTAAGAATAGCTAAAAATATTTTATTTTGAGAGAAAAGTGGTAAGAGGTATTCTTATTTAAGTGTACAAAATTATCCAAAGGACTGATAGGTCAAAGGAAATTGATTTCTGTGTGCTATTTCCTAGTATAAGAGGACAAAAGTTTAAATTTTGGAGCAGGGTGATTAATTTATGAAATGAGTTGCCATTGGTGGTATTCAAGGCTGTCATATTGCAAGAGTATATTTAATAGGGAGATTGATAAATTAATAAAAAATAAAAGGTAGGTGGAAATGTTTAATTTTACTTTTCCACAGATTGAGCACACAAGCACAACCTTTATGGATACCAAATGGTCCCATGTTGTCTATATGTTATGTATGTAAACAAAAATCCTAACACTAATGTTGTATGCTTAAAATAAGAGTGTTAATAAGGTCTTGGTTTACACTGAAAGTGAAATACAAATTTGTAATTATATATCAACTGCAGTAGAACCTTGACATTAAGGGCACCCTTCCAACTGCCTTCAAATACACTATATAGTAAGGTCGCACAAAGCTGGACTCCATATCAACCGTACTAAATCTATGAATTTTAAGACCTCCATTTTGTTTGGTGTATGCAGGACATGGGTGTTCATGAGTTGCATGTTGCCATAACATGGATTGTTGTCAACTGGAGATCTCTGGGGTTGGATTAGCTGTGCCCTTTTTCTGTATTATTGATCAAAAAAAGTTTCAAAGTATGTCTCTTCCGAGTTTGAACTGCTAAACACTTCACATTTATTTTCTGTGTTTATTTTACTATCAATGACTGAAGTACAAATCCACTGAAAATAAAGCAACAAATCACCGACTGTGTCATTAGACTGTTTACATGACACTGCAATACGATACTATTGGGAGCAACAAAGCATGAGGACAGAAATAATCCGACTCGACTTCTGCTTCAAGAACACAATGTAGAATTTATCAGTTTATGTATCCTACAGTGTTTACAACAAGAATTCCCCAGAGTAATAAGATTGCACTTTGAATCTGTGAAAACATTTATTATAGTATATGGTTCAGAGCAGAACCAATAAACATTGCAAGTGTTTGAATACTGGTCATCCTTCTGGGATGTTTGGAATTTAGCGATATACCATACAAAAATAACTGCTCACTTTATCTAGTGCCTATATAGAGAATGAGACTAAAGACACTGCCCTTAATCCAGAATATTGCAGTGCCTGTTATTGCAAGATTTATTTTGGTTACGAATAGTAGAATAAAGAAAGTGACTGAAAAGGTGTGCCCTTAATAGTAAGGTGCCCATTAATTGAGCTTCCACTGTACTATACATCTACAAAATCTAGTACCAATAAGGCCCTTCTCCCAACACCATAGCTTTCCAGGCCAGTTGGAATATGACAATCAAATCCAGGATAACTATAAACTGGACAATTAGATATTGGATAACTATACACCTCAAAAAATGATGAAGTAGGACATGCAGACACAACTTGTTTATTATAAAATAAAACAATAATTAAAATAATTTTCTCCATTATATGACTTGTATATGTATATATCTAGACCAGGGGTCAGCAACCTGCGGCTGATTAAGGATATTTGTGCAGCTCTCGGGCTATCTGCTGTGTCCACCAACTCCTGATTTTAGTGTTGTAAATCCATTAGGGTATATTGTGGTTCTTGAAATGTTTTGGTCTTAGACAAAAGCAAAAAAATGGTTCTTTTTTCTTTGAAGGGTTGCCGACCCCTGACCTAGGCCTACTACTAATAAACCTCGATCTACGTAGGTTAAATGATGGAGTAGATTTACAATTTTAATAAAATAGGCCTAGATATATACAGTTCATATAATGGAGTAAATTAAACTGGTACGAGTTGATTTACTCCATTATACGAACTGTATAGATCTAGGCCTATTTTATTAAAATTTTAAATCTACTCAATTATTTGACCTACAATAGCTACATAGATCTAGGTTTATGTTACTACCAGCATAGTAACTGGCCAACTAGACACCATACAACTGGAAAAATATGTTGCAAATCAGCAAGTTCTTCTATTAAGTATGTTGCGAAGTTTTAACACCCTCCTCTAAAATTATTAGGTGTCTAAATGAATTACTTCCTCATTTTTTTTTTTTAAGTGTCTAATTGTCCGGTTACCATGACAATCACATAGTAGCAGTAACAATGTCACTGTCAGTACCTGAGGATGACATAATCTTGTCGAAACATCGTAGATTTATATTATAATAAAGTTTTCATCATCCAGTCAAGCCGTTTCCAAACTTTTATTTAGTAACACTTACAGTTACACCGTGACCAAGCGTGAGTGTGACAGTGTCATTGCCACTTTGTTTGAGTTTGATCGTTTAAGTTCAAAAGCTTTACAGTTTACACCTAATTCTAACACCATAACTCACAGCATGTCAATTCCTAGCGTTTAAACTGAAAGCGGCGAACGTAGTGAGTTCACGTATAAGATTAATTCTGTTCTTTAAATTTTAATATATCCATATAATTCAAACTGAATCAAGTCCGTTCAGAAAGGACTCGCCTATTGGACGCTGCCATCTTTATATGTTCATTCATATGAAAAATAGTTATACTCTTAGTCTTAGAAGAATACAACCCTACGTTTTTTCAACATATATTTTTTTTCATTTTACAATAATTCTGTATAAGCTATATCTTAAAAGAAAAACAGTATAAACACATTTAACTTGAGCTACGAAGATACCCATCATGTGTACAATATCTCAGAATGCTTTTCTTCCAACTGTTCTCATCGTTCACCAATTATAAATATATAAATGTATTTTTTCGCATTCACACACACCTACTAACAACACTATGTAATAATAAGAAAATAGCGTTATCGCCACTGAAACAGTTCTTAATTATTGCCAAACCAAGGTAATTACGAAAATAAACAAGACATATTTGCTAGATAACTATACAAATGAAAGAATATTAATAGATTAATGGGAAAATACCGTCAAGTGTTATTTATATTAATTTAAAAACGCATGTATCACACAAGCAACTATGACACAAAAACTTATTGAACAGTTTAATACCTATTTTGAGTAGTAAAACATAATTGTTTCTGCAAATAATTATGACAACAG